GTTTTGTACACAGTTGTCAATCGGGGACCCTCTGTCAATCGGGGACCTTACTGTCCTCTATTGTTCAGGGTCCCCAATTGCATGCAGAAACAAACTCACACACCCACACTGGTGGGTAAACGGATTTCGCGAAAGCATTGATTCAAGTTTGAAAGGCACCTTTCTTTACATTTTGAGTAACCTTGTTGCCTCAAAGGAACATAACGCACGGATTTAAAGTAACTATTTTCCCAATTTTCAACGCAATCCTGTTTAAAGAGAGGGTTGCTTTCCAAGTATTTCAAAGGGTTGCAACCGATAACAATAAGTTAATATTTTGCAGCTTTAGAGGCAAACTTCTTCCGTACGTGGTTGTGCATACAGTATCATACTACATTGCAGATGTCGAAAATGTGTACCAAAGTGGCGTCTCTTGTTCAACCTCGTATAGAACTCATTGGACAACAAGTTATTGCAGGGGATCGTTGGGGACCAAAAATTTTGTAGTTGATTCGCCTTTGGAAGCGTAAAATGGTGATTGTTATTTTGACAGTGGATATTTTACCGTTACTGGCAAAAGTTCCCAAACGATACTCTGCTGGTAGCCGTGGTCTGATTGGTACGTACGTATTGGTGACTTCACCGTTGTTCATGTACATGTACCATGCCGTGTCGCGGCCTATATCGACCACTTTCGCCTGAACAACAATTTTCCTTCAATTATTTTCGCAAAAAGTTTTATTTCGGTTGAATTGTCTGCTTTTCTTTCTCGTGCAAAATGAACTCTTTAAATGTGCCCCCCCCCAAAACGGAATAACATGCTTTAAGCTGGGTATGTGACTGGAAATAATGATAATTTGGAGGCTTAATAACTTCATGTCAATGTTAGATTTTCAAAAACTGTTTTTCATATGCGCCATGTCAGGAAACTTACAGTTTTCAACTCAGAAATTTGGCCCCACGTTAGGGGACTCTGCTGTCCAGTCCACGACGTAAGAATAATACTGTGAGTCTGGCAGCAGTGTCAGTGACTGTGTGTTCTGAGGGGGAGCTCCACCAGTGTCAGTGCAATTACCAGACCGGTTAAATAGCTATCAAAGGCTATTGGCGGCAACTTTGACGTCATAAATATAGACCAATCAGAACAAGGCTACCTGAAGAATATCGTTTTGGAACTTTTGCGGGTAGCGGCAAAGTATCCATAGCCTATTATTTTTTGAAGTTGCTATTTCGCCTCAGCGTGATGAACTTAAATCATCAGCCAAGGAGAGGTTCTATCTCCCTACGGCGGGTAATTACTGCAGCCGCTGTCAGTGATAAATTCAAAGGATGCATTCGAAATCTAAGTACAACTGACCGCACTTGGCGAGAAAGCAGCTTAAAAAGTTGTAACTCTTGTACCCTGAACTATTGCTTATCCTTACAGATACTTTGCATTCGTCATCAACAACCGGGAGGAAATTCTAATGACAGTAATACTCACCTTGAAATACCATCTGTTGGTTGCAGCAACGTGGCGACCGTCAGTGGTGAAGGCTCACCCCAGCTTGGTAAAAATCTAAAAAATTATATTTCTATCATTTACTCCTGACCACTTATCGTAAAGTATAATATAAGCACATACGCCATGTTCGTTCAAAACAAGGCCCTGTGAGAGAGATATGGCTGGAGGTGGACTGAGGAAAGAGGTTTTCAAGCAAGATTGGGTGCGAATAGTCGTATCGTAGTCTGCAACGACCAAATTCAAGTTAAGGCAACTCAGATATCAATTGACCGTATTAAAAACACCTATTTTTTAGTTTAAAACATAAATTTAGTGTTTATTTTGGTTCTTCGTCAATTGTATCTGTTATGACTAAATGGCGGCATCAGCAGTAATTACCGCCACACTAAGCAAGTCGGGATCAACAACCGAAATCAAGAAAGTTGAATTCTGATTCAACAAATGTAACAAAACACTGTGCTGCCACAGGCGCACATGTGTTTTGAGGAGTTTGGAAATCTGCCGTTAGAATATGTCTCATTTAAACTTATGAGGCCCAGATGATTGTTCGTTTACAACATAGTGGACTTTCACACACAAACTCTGGTTCACTTGACACTGCTGTGGTGATGTGTGCTTGCTCACTGAGATTTAGATAACAACCTGCTATTTAATGAAACAGAAAAACATTAATAAGAAAACTGCAATACATGGAAAATTCCAACAGTTAACTTGGCAAGCTTAGTTATGAAAAGAAGTTTAATATTTAAAGTCTAATCACTTATTTGCAACTGTCATAACTGTTATAATTTCACGACTCAAGGTGTCAACAAATCCAAGAAATTACAATCAAAAGTAATAGTTCGAAACTTGAGTAACCAGAATGCTAGACCAAAGTGGGAACAATGGGTAGTGGGGGACGTAACACACTGCAACCAGTTGGTGCGGCTGAACATGGCAGTAAGGCGGTTTGGAGGGGAGGGGCAAAGTTGACATGACGCCTGGTCTCTTCGTCCGTCGTTGACACCTCTAACGAGACCACCGAGACCATCCTGTTTTTAATTACCGAAAGGAATTTTCTACTTTTCAAAAGGCTTTAACTTGTTGAAGCATCCTTAAGCGCATTTCCTCGACAGAAGATAATAAATTTCATATTTGATACAAATGACTCGAAGGGAGATTTTCAAGAACAGATAAGGCTGTTTTAATTTTCTCATTTGTATTGCGCAATTATCATTATGCATTTACACAGAGCATGTATATTACTTTGTAAATGCAGCGTTGCAGAAGAATATTGTAAAATGGCAGGAATACATTTTAGTTTGGGTATACAACAAAGGTTCCACGCTACATTATAAAACATGGTTTAGAGTTTCTGAACACTTTTTTGTACCTTCTTTTTATACACATTTTACCCACAACACATTAACGCATGTACATTAAAAACGCGCTTAGGAATGTGTTTAAATTCACAAAGCAACGTGTACCACGAAAATTTTTTTAACATTTCGATAAACTTGTGATGGGTTGAACATGTTAAAAGTGGGTACAAATGTGTTTAAACTCTAACGCCGTTTTGACAGCGTAACGTTTACTTTGTATCCCCATAGCTCCTTTGTCATTTGTTCTTCTTGAAGAAATTTTTTACCCTTTTGGTTTGGATTTAGGTGCCATTTCCGCCCCTGATGAACCACAGTGGGAGACACTTGCGTCTAACCTTGGTTTCAGCTCAGACAGAATTGCATATTTTAAGAGTATTGATCCTGGCAAACCTGCGGAAAAAATCTGGGAGATGCTATCTGAGTGGAGAGGAAAGGGGTCATCCCGCATGGCCCAGACTACACAACTGTGTGCTGCATTAGCAGTCATTGGAAGAAAGGATCTTGCATACGAATTACAAGGTAAATATTCAGTCAAATTGTCTTCAATTACATGCCAATAAATTATTTGAAGTATTATACCTTTCGTTTCAATGTTCTGAAAGAGACGGGAAAAAGTTTATTAGTAGCTATTTTACTTGAATGATGTGTAAGTAACGTGCTTCGGATATTGGACGATATGTGATGAAACAGTTAATTTTTAAGTTTTTTAATAAAATGTAGCGAAAAATCAGTTTAAGATGGATTGCAAAGAGAAACATTGTGAAAGCAATATGACACAAATCAAAGTTGTGCCACAATTTAATGTGTCAATTTCAAACATTTAGGTTTGCTCAATGTGCACTGCATCCATTAAACAACAGTGAGTCCCATTAGAATGCTATAGTGATTTTTGTCATTGGCAGTGTTGAATGATAACGATGTATACAAGATGTCCAAGGTCTTTTGTCGAGAATGGAAGGACAAGGCTTTTGATCTCGGCTTCAGCAGAAAGGAGGTCGTCGAAATTGAGTCAATTTCGTCATACCAAGGACCAGAAAAGGCTTCTGAAACGCTAGAAAAATGGAGAGAGCGGCAATCGTGGAAGGAAGATGATGGTGAAGTGCTGTGTAGGGCGTTGGAAAAGGTCGACAAAAAGGATCTGGCTGACGAACTGAGGAAAGATAAGAACTCGTTCATTGATGGCATAATGAGGCTACGGAGAGTGGCATACATGCTGACGCTTGAGCCAGGTTCAAAGGAATTGATCGGACAAGAATTCCTGCAGCCACCCAAGATGATCATCAACAATCAGGAAGATTTACGGTCACTGAGGGACGACGTCGGTGAGCCATGCGATGAACCACTACATGTAGAGATGTTAGATGTATGGTGCAGATCACGGGAAGATATTGATTTACTTCGGGAAATATTAAAAAGTGCCAAATTTGATTTCTTAAAGCATCTTCAGCTTCAGCTTCAACTATCTGAAAACTGGAAGGAGGAACTGCAAAGCCTTGTGCAAACATTCCAGCCTGGGATAAAACTACCGGAGGTGCATTTGGTATTATTTGGGCGTAATAACATAGAATATGATATAGGACATGTGGGCAAATGCCTGTTTGAAATAACAAGTCAGTTTCCTGGAAAGATGGGACTATCACCTTGTAATATTTTTCGATCACATCGAGATGTCCAGAGATTCGTGGATGCTCTCAAGGCTTGCAAGTTGCAATTGTTAGGGTGCCCTAGAGTTGATTTGCATGGTCACGTGGATCTTCTAGCACCTCTTATAACAGACTGCCTCAAAATAATGTGGCTCAATCAGTGTAACCTCACCGATGATGACGCCAGCGACCTGACTTGTATCCTCTCCAAATGTCATGGGCTGCAGAAGCTGGATGTACACTGTAATAAGTTTAGTATGGATGGGATCAGTGACATCACCAGCTATCTTACACTTGAACATTTCCCCAATCTGATCCGCTTGGATGTTTATGATATGGGACTTGATGCGGCTCAAGTGAAGGAGGTGGTTAAGAAAAATCTACCTCACCTGAAAGAAACTGAAACGGGCATTTTTAAAATAACGTAATGGATCCAATATGCAAATCAAAAGAAAGGGCGATTTTTGGCATTGTGATAAATGCCTAACTGTAAATATTTAGCTTCTGTCAAACATTCACAGTCACTGCTATAATCAAGTTGGAACTGTAGTGGGAAAGGTGACAGGTCAAACAACAGTAGTGACAATGATCGGGATCATGAATAAAAAAAAAGTAGCCCCAAGGGCATTTAATTTGCTCAAAATATTGCTTGCATAGGATTTAACATGGAGATTGTTCCATACATTTGAGANTCATCTACAATCAAGAAGATTTACGGTCACTGAGGGACTATGTAAGAGAAACCGATGAGTCACGAGATGAACAATTACATGTAGATACGTTATTCGTGATGTGCAGATCACGGGAAGATGTTGATTTGCTTCGAGAAATTATTCAAAGTACTAACATCGATATCTCGAATTCGTTACAGCTTAAGTATCAGTTATCTAAAAACTGGAAAGAGGAACTGGAAAGCCTCGTGGAAACATTCCAACCCGAGATAAAATTTCAAACGTTGATTCTAGAATTATGCGGGCGTCCGGGAAGATGATGCCGAATTTGATATGGGGTTTGTGGGTAAATGCGTATATGAAATAACAAGTCACTTTCCTGGAAAAATGGGACTATCACTTGAGAACATGATTCGTTCATGTGGAGATGTCAAGAGTTTGGTGGATACCCTAAAGGGTTGCGAATTTTTTATCTTTGGGTGCCCTGATGCTTGTTTGTATGGCCACTTGGGTCTTCTAGCTCCTCTGATAACATCTTGCCTCGAGGAGTTGTGGTTTCAGGGCGGTAACCTCACCGATGATGACGTCAGTGACCTGATTGGTATCCTCCCCAAAGCCCACCGGTTGAGGAGGCTGAACATACACGGTAACGAGCTCAGTTTGGATGGGATCAGTGACATCACAAGCCATCTTACACTTTTTCCTCATTTCAGCCACCTGGATGTTTATGATATGGGACTTGATGCGGCTCAAGTGAAGGAGGTGGTTGAGGAAAACCTGCCTCACCTGAAAGAAATAGAAACTGGAATTTTTAAATAACGTAATGGATTCAAAATGCGAATCGAAAGAAAGGGCGATTTTTGGTATTGCGATAAATGCCTAACTGTAAATATTTAGCTTCTGTCAAACATTCACAGTAACTGCTATAATCAAGTTGGAACTGTAGTGGGAAAGGTGACAGGTCAAACAACAGTGACAATGATCGGGATCATGAATAAAAAAAGTAGCCCCAAGGGCATTTAATTTGCTCAAAATATTGCTTGCATATATTTGTTAGGATTTTAACATGGAGATTGTTCCATACATTTGAAAGCCTCTTACATGTATACAAATCATTATAAATTCTTCTGTATCATGTTTTTGTGTCAACCGTATTTCGTTTATTGCTTCATGCTTTAAGAAAGGATGATTTTTTTGTTTGTGATAAATTGTCCAACTGCATACTTTTTCTAAGCACTTCTCTGAACAGGTATGCTGAAGTCTTCAAGTTACATTCACGTCATAAACTGCAGTAGGAAAGAGGACAGGTCAATTAACAGTGAAGATGATCAGGATCATTATTAAATGAAGAAAGAGCACTAAATATAGCGCTACGAGGACGTGTATATTTGTAGGGTCGATTAACAAAAAGAGCGTATCATACACCTGAAAGCCTCTTATACAAGAAATGCTAAATTGTTTCACATCATGTTTCGGTGTCAACCACTTTTCGCTTATTGCTTGATGCGAACAATACATATTTTGTGTAATCATGCCTTCATGTTTTGGGTCGTATTTCCCCGAATGCACTTCGTATTCGATTCCAAGGCCGCTTCGTCATTGTATACACGTAATAACACACCGTTTTTTGCCTTGTTAATTAAACTGAATCGTGTCAATTTGTGCAAAACCATAATCGTGTTTTGGCGTAGTTGTGATGACTGGCAAGAGTTATGGAATTAAGAGTTTCTTACTATGATTTTCTTTTTCTCTGCGCTCCTATGTAAAAAAAAACCCTTCAAATTTAGACTTCCTACAGACAGTAGATATATTATTTTGCAATTGGTTTTTGTATGCACATAGGTAATGCATGGTTGTAAAATCTTTTTTCATTGTTCATATTTTGGCAAAACTGATTAAAGGAACCAGGAAATAGAAACATTTTTATAAATTTTACTAAAAACCCTTGAAATCGCATTTTTGGGATTCAATTAACCTGATTTAAAACTTTTGTTATGCAATTTTTAACCCATATGTTGATGCTTTTTTGTTTGATATTAATACACACTTGCATATTCATGAGCAGAACTTAGATGTCATCCAAGGCACTGAATCTCAATGTGGCACTGATTTGTGCACAGACAAATTTCTAGATTTGTTTTCTACCACTGCTATGGCAGATTTTATTTTCTTTGGCAATTTATTGCTGTTTAAGTATATATCAATAATCTAGCAAAAATCCTACTCACAGAAATGTTCCCAGATAGCAAATTTGGGATTCACAATTTGAACATGAAAACATGCAACCTGAACCAGGTCTTCCTAGATTTACATCAGAGCAAAAGCGCCCTCACTTGTCCAGAAATGCTTGGTCAATTTTTAATGTTTAAAAAAAGGACCGTTCAGTTCAAGTAACTTAAAAAGATGACAAACAGTCTTCATACATAGAAGAATACAGAGATAAACAAAAAGTTATTCTAAGAAAAATTCGTTTCCTGGTTCCTTCAGCATCCCTGCGTATACTACTTTCCATTTTTTATATCTTAGCTAGATTGAGGACAGAAATATTTCTCTAAAACATTAACTCCGTGTATTGACCTAAAAAGAAAATATTTTTGCAGTGCATAGTAAAGTAATGTAATATAACCATTATTAACGTGAATTTTTTTATTACAAGTAAGGCGTGATTAAGTGAAATTGGAATTGGGCTAATCTTTTGTGTCAACTAAACTTTTAATCCATCGTAAAAACTGAGTCATTTGAGTTGATGTATGACCAAAATGAGAAAGAATGCCTGCATAAAATACTCTCTGGATAATTAAGGATAAAAATTTAATGGTTGGTGTAATAATGTTCAGACTTGTGTACGGAATATCTTGTACATGTTGCGATTTTAACTAAGACAGTAGAAATAATAAACATGTATTTTCATTCAATCGTTGTAATAGATCATGCATGTGCGATTGTTTGGAATTAAGATGTACTTAAGCTATTGTGCAGACCACATATTTTAAAGTGTTCTATAACTTTTACGATTCAAGTAAGAATTACCAATGCAAAACATTGGTTTATGTACTATGATTAAAACACATAAAATGGTTTTCGCTTGTAAACTTACATTTATGGCATCATATTAATGAAAATGGATTGTTAATTCATTCATGTCCTTGAATGTTGCAAAAAAGATTCAATCGTAGAACACTGGAAAACGCTTTGGCTATTAAAATGGTCTTGTTAATTATTGATAAAATGTAACGGGTAATCATGACATCTACTTACATTATTTATTGGTTTACTAGTTTACGCCTTTTATTTTACGCCTTTTATTATCAGCCAACCAGTGAGAATTAATTCGTTTCCAGCTAAGATAGTAAAAAGTTTTCGCACGCTCTTTATGTACGAAAATACGAATATCCTCACTTTAGCGAATACAAATATTTAAAAATAAGGAGAAAAAAAACCAGGTTTTCTATTTCACAATAAATAATTATGAAGTCACAAAGAAAACAAATGAAGGGCCTAGCTTGGAGACGATCTCTGCGTTAAAGTTGGGTATGACTTGTCTGGCTTGACTTTTCAAGTAGCTGCAGAGCTTGCAGTTAAAGTATTTGCAGTTCAAGGGGCTAAGTGCAGATGGTGTTCAGGGCTCAAATGCACAGTCCCTCCTTAAATTTCCCTTGGCTAAATCAGATGTGGGAACGGAATTCATGTGACTCTGGTCCAAGCCACTCACTGTCCAGCAGTATATGCAGTTGCAGCTCAATCGGCTCACTGAAGTTACTCTATTTGCCTAGAGCGCGACAGGGACGAATTTGTAAGTATGGCAGGTTTGATGGAAGGAGAGATCACAGAGAGACAACAGAACAGCCTCTGTTCTGTTCAGTAGCCAAGTGAAGTGTAAGGACACTGGCCACTGAATTTATCCGCTCCTCAAGGACTCCTGTGGTTAGTTGCAAGTTCTGCTACCAATTGCAACCTGCCCACACGCGCTGCCAAGCAACCCTCACATTTCTAAGAAACTGGATTACCTAATTGTGGGGAGTTAGAATTAAAAAAAAAAATTGGGGGCACAAAATTCATCCTATTACAAAAATATCAAAGACTACTGCTTCCCCTTAATTAAATAAACCTCAGCCCTAGGTATATACTTGCTTAGCCTTTCGTATAAGTAAGCTTCATATTGATTTTCTATCAGTGTCACAAATTTTTTGATATTAAACTTGAAATTCCATTCGCTCATCACTGGCTTATTTTCCAAATGTATATGTACATGTATATTTTCTTGCTGTAATCGAGCACCATTTTATGTAAGAATTATTCTGCCCCAGATGCGGTGAGGTTTAACTTAACCCCAACTCTCTAGGTTGTATGCAAAATCAAATTAAAATTGGAAGATTCAGGACTGTAATGGGCCCTTTGATGCATAATGTGAATTAAGGTACAGTTGAGCAATTCCGTTTATAAGGTTCAGATGCTGGGCAGTACGTGTGTGATTAAAGGCGCCAACCGGGGGCATACATGTATACACTATTCTTCTGTGTGAAGTACTGTGGTACCCGGCGGGACCGTGACGCGTGGCCTACGATTTCATGTAAGGCCAGTTCAAGCTAGAAACTGCAGGTTTCGATTTTATGCATAAC